ATGACAAAGAAGATTTCTCACGCTCTAAACCCTCTTAGATGACGGGTTTTAAAATTCTCTTCAGGGTTTTACAAATTTCTAATCTTAAATATAGTTTTAACAAGTCTCAATCGCGGCTGTGTCTTCGTTCCAACGCCCACCAAAATAAGCCTGGGCCCCCAGCTATCCGCTGAGAAATTCAATAGATACTGGGCACTGTCCGAGAGAGCCTGGCCAACTCTGTTGGCCGCCCGGACTTGGCCAGCAGCCTGGCGACTCCTTGGTGGAGGAGACTTGAGAGGTAAGAGAAAGAGCCCCCTCCGTCAATGTAATGAGCTCCAGCGTCTATCTCCAAGACTCCAAAGTCCACGAAGCAATCGACTGCTCGGTTGTCCTCTCTCTCGGACTAACCAAGCCGGTCGTTAGTGTGATTTCCACATTCTTATTCCACTTTGACGGGACCAATTTGGCGGGCGACACTCTTAAATTATTGTTTTCTTTTAATGGGCATATGGTCAGCGTACCGGATTAATAAAGCAGAATAATCACGCTTCCAATATCTTTTATGATGATGTTGTCCTGGTCACCCTTTGTGTGTGTATATATATATGTGAGCCTTGCTTAGCATCTGACAACAGCATCTCAAGCCCCCATCCATCCCACCGAAACCCCTTAGCCACCTCCCAATCAGTGCTGTCATCGCCAAGTCTCCAGTACTCCGGAGTAACGTTCACACTAGGACTTGGGAGGATCATCAGCAATGGACTCTCTGCAGTACTCGAACACAAAGGCGCTAATTTCCATAGCTGCGGTGGCCGTACTAGGAGTGTTGCTGAGGCTGTACAATGTGCTGGTGGTGAAGCCGGAAAAGTTGAGGTCCTTGCTGAGGAAGCAAGGCATCAACGGACCGCCCCCCGCCTTCTTGCTCGGCAACATCATGGAGATCAAGAAGGCGAGATCTTCATCCTCCTCCTCCTCCGCTCCCAAGACTCTGCCCAGCCAGCCCCCTGCCCGCCATGATTGCGCTACTGTCCTCTTCCCCTTCTTCGACAAGTGGAGAAAACGATACGGTAGGTTACCTCTCCGCCGTCCTAACTGGGATCTTCATCTCTTTTCTACAATTAATCTAACACTATTTATGTGTTTCGATTTCCCATTTTCCTAACTACATAAATTAAACGCAAGATTTTTAGCAATTCTTAGAGAGTTTATGAAACTTAGAGATTGGTGGTACTTAAATTTCCTAGTCAGATCAAGATGATCACGTGCATCACAGAGACATATGTTTTCTGTACCTTAGGGTTGAACTTGAAGCCTACCATGTCGGCATAGGGTGGTAGATGCTGAAGATTCCTTCATTGCCTGTTTCCATTTTTTGCACACTTGCAACGCCTACCATTGGCTGCTCTTTCTTTTTTGGGGTTAATGTTAGTTCTTTGATAAAGACGGATGCATGCGCTGGGTAGCTCCACTGGAGCTGGATCTAAATTGGACCCACCAAAATGACTCCAGCGGCCCCAACATCACTTCTTACATTCGCACTAAATTTCATTCAACACGTTCTCGCTCGGTAAAAGAACAGGAGTAATTTACCACTCCTGTATCAAATCATTTCTCCTTCCCCCTTCCTTCAATGAATTGGATCGATCATTTGTGGTTCGGACATGGACAATCAGATCGGGCTGGTCTCATGCGCTGGTGTGTCATGATTTTTACAGGAGATACATTTGCGTTCTCGCTGGGGAACACACAGATAGTTTATGTGAACCAACCAGACGTGGTGAGGGAGATTACCACCTGCACATCCTTGGACTTGGGGAAGCCCTCATACCAGTTCAAGGAGAGGGGTCCCTTGATGGGCCAAGGCATCTTAACTTCTAACGGCTCCCACTGGGCTCATCAGCGAAAGATCCTCGCTCCTGAGCTCTATATGGAGAAGGTTAAGGTATGTAATCTTAATTGATGTCTTTTAATACCACCATCACCACCACCAATTTTTCTTAATTAACATTTGGGAATTTGCCGGCCGGCAGGGGATGATAAACCTCATAAACGAGTCCACAGAGACACTGTTAAACTCCTGGAAGAACAAAGTGGACGCTGCCGGTGGAGTAACCAACATTAACATCGACCAGCACATGAGAAGTTTCTCGGGAGATGTCATCTCCAGAGCCTGCTTTGGCAGCAATTTCGCCAAAGGAGAGGAGATCTTCCACAAGTTGAGGGCTCTCCAAGAGGCCATGTCCAAGAAAGTTCTCTCTACTGGGATTCCTGGCATGAGGTGAGTAATTAAATCTTTCTCCCGAAAAACCTCCAATTAATCAGCCCCCTCCCAAAAAAAAATGGGCGAAGAAATCCACCGTCATTCAGCTGGCTTTAATCAATTTTGGTTTTGCAATGACACAGTTACCTCCCCACCAAGAGTAACAGAGAAGCCTGGGCACTGGAGAAGGAGGTCCGCAGTTTGATACTGCAGGTGGTGAAGGAGAGGATGGACGCAGCATATGAGAAGGACCTTCTGCAGATGGTTCTTGAGGGTGCCAAAAACAGCGACTTGAGCCAGGAGGCCATGGACCGCTTCATTGTCGACAACTGCAAAAACATTTATTTAGCCGGGTACGAGACCACCGCCGTCTCTGCGACATGGTGCCTCATGCTGTTGGCTTCCAGTCAAGAGTGGCAAGATCGAGTGCGCGCTGAGGTTCTTGAAGTTTGTGGGGGCCGTCTTCCTGATGCCGATATGATCCGTAAGATGAAACTGGTGCGGCTTCCTGATACCTTTAAGACAGAGTGCACATAATGTAATGTTTTCATTTCATGATTATCGGCATGCGTTAACAACATTTCTGTCCTGGGTGCAGCTCACAATGGTCATAAATGAGTCGCTGCGGCTATACTCCCCCGTGGCAGTGGTGTCGAGGGAAGCCTTCACGGATATGAAATTTGGGGACCTGAAAGTGCCAGAGGGAGTGAACGTGTGGACGATGGTGTTGACACTGCACACAGACCCCGAGATATGGGGTCCAGACTCCTACTCCTTCAACCCGGGCAGATTTGCCAACGGGATCACGGGAGCCTGCAAGCTGCCGCACTTATACATGCCCTTCGGAGTGGGACCTCGCGTGTGCCTCGGGCAGAACCTGGCCATGGTTGAGCTCAAGATCCTCATCGCCCAGCTTCTCTCCAACTTTTCCTTCACCCTCTCTCCCAACTATGTCCATTCCCCTGCTCTTAGGTTGGTTATTGAGCCCGAGCACGGTGTCGATCTCTCCGTCACCAAGTTATCTCGAGATTGATGGCTTCAAAAGACTATTTTTTTCACCCCATTTTTTCCTAAGCCCACTGTTCGCTTTCGTGCTATTTGCAAAAGCACTTTTCCTTTCTTTTTTGTCACTTTTGTATTAGTTTATGGCAAAGTTCGTTCTTTCTCCATTGTACATGTCAATTGTTCAAGTTTAACAGTGATGTATCCGCTATTGGCGACAATAGATTAGATACACGGATTGCAACAATGGAGAAACACTAAGGACGACCGGACTGTTGTTTTTCCCATTTACAAAGGCTACTATATGCTTAAAAAGAGAAGCAGATGCCCCTCGTGGTGGAAACACTGTAATCCTTCCCAAAAAATTATTACTGTATTCCAAAAATTTGCTTGTAGAAGAAAGATTTGTTCCTATTGCTTCTAGTTTTTATGGATGCTACATGATAGACGGACGGACTAACGATAGATGTTGATCACAACAGTTGGAGATCAAGCATTTATGCAGTATTCTACTGCTCCAGAACTATATGTCAGTTTATTTTATAAAAATTAAGGATATATGTACTGAAAGTCTTAAAACTTGTCATAAAAATGCAATTGAATCCTAAAACTTATTAAATTGATGCAATTGAATCCTTCCATTTATTTCGTTCAACTTGATTAACGGAAAATTACTAACGTGACTTTTTTAAATATTTTTTCTCTTATACGTGAACGTGGCTAAAACACGAAATATAAGGACAAAATGATGTCGTTTTTGTCCAAATCTAACTTTTAATACAAATTTTATTTAAATTAAATTAAAAAATAAGCCAAAATTAAAATAAAATAACGACAAGAAAAGAAAAAAGAGAATGAGAGACTTAGAACTAGGAGGTGAGGGCAGGGCCGCCACCGCCCCACCATAGGGGAATGGTCAGCGAGGGTCACCGTGGGAGAATGGCCGGCAAGGATCATTGGCCCTGGCAACCCCCGTCGACTAGTCCCCTACTAACGCCGGTATGGTGACCCCCGACAATGGTGGGGCGGAGGCAACCTTGCCTCCTAGTTTTTTTTAGCTTATTTTTAAAATTAAAATTAAATTATTTTTTTTATTAAAAATCAAATTTAAATCAAAACAACGTCATTTTAGTCATGTCATCACCATATATAATAGATAGAGAAAATAATAATAAAGAAAGCCCCGTTAGCATTTCTGTGGCCAAGGTTGGACAGAATTAGCGAAATGACTTGATTGTACCAATTTGACAAGTTTTGAAACTAAATTACACTTTTTTCAAGAGTTTTACATCTTCCAATGAACATATCCTTAAAATTTTTAGATAGAATTAAGGTGCTTATTTTTCCTTCTTTAGTTCATTACCGTCATTGTAACCATTTTATCACTTCTGGTAAAAGTAAAAGATCACAAATTGTTAACAGCCAGTCTTTTTCCAGAATTAGCAAGACATTTGTACCATGATATAACACTATGATTCCTAAATCACACCCTAATATCCCTGAAACCACATGAAGTGCTCTGATTGGATACACGATCATTATAATTAAGCAGGCATTGGTAACCAAGTTTAATGGTTCTACTGCAATTTAATGTAATGGTCCTACCTCCAACAACAAACTTCAAATGTCAAAAGAAGAAACATAAGATCCACCTGTACATTAGAGTCAACCAATGACTCGCAAATAATAATTAAGAAAAGGACCCTCTGTGAGACGAAAGGAAGTCCATGATGATCTTCTGACACGATCCCACCAATAAAATGAGAACGAAAGGGTAATATTCATTGTTGTATGAAGCATTATATTGACAAGGAATCTCAATATTCTTCTAGATACAGAGAGAAGGTGGTTTACATGTACAATACAATGGTCAGATCACTGCTTATGTCTCTTTTTAGACACAGTTTTCACCAGACCCTTGGCAATCTTCCAAAACCAAAATAGGTTCATAATTGCCAAAACAGGAGGCACCAAAAGCAAACTGTAGAAACCCAAGTCAAAAATCTGTTTCACCTGAAACAGAAGAGGTGAAAAAGATGAGGCCTGTTCTGTATCTTGAATCAAATTATGGCAGCTCAGCCAGTGAAATCATCAATATAACAGCATAAACCATCTAAGAAGACTAGACTCGCTTTCCTATTCCCAATGATTGTTTCCTTTTCAAACACATGAATTAATAAAAGAATGACATTACTGCATACATCAGCACCGGTGACTCATGCTGAGAAGTTAAATTAAACTGGAAAGATAGATTTATAGACACAACAAAGCAGGAGAAAACTTAAAGCAAAAAGCACCCATGGTTTTCTATAGAGACTTTCATCGTAAGCATCTCCAACTCTGTTATTAAAAATCATAATACATTCAAATATTGATATTACAGCGACAGTTAGGTTAATTTTTATCATCAAAGAGGTCACTTAAATCCTATTGCTAAGAAACAACTCACCTGGTCAAAGTAAATAAGCATGTGGGTGAAAAAGAAGAGGAAGAGAAGAATCCTTGCAACCTGAAGATATCAAATAGTTGCATGATCAAAATATATGTGAAAGCCTTTGAACAAATATGTCATCTCAAGTCAGATGGAAATGTTAGGCGTCATCTGATAACCTTTATCAAGAACTAAAGACATAAATTTTCAGCCCTAATCATAAGTTAATGCATTGGTCTCAAAGCTAATGCAGATTGCAGCTTAACCGACACACTTCAGTTGAAATTAATGTTTTGATCAAGTGAAACTCAAGTAAAACTAAAGGCTGAACAGGCTCATCCAACTGATCTAGTAATTATTTTCACACTTAAACACATACACATTTAGTATATTCATAATGGAGTAATCCACCTTGACAATCCTCCTTTTGATGAACATCACAGATGAATCTTTATACGTGGTACATCTCTAAAAATACTCGCATGTTTTTTAAAATGTTTACATCCATGCCAACTATTTCACGCGAAGTGGCTTCTTTCTGGTTTTGTACGGGTTTGGGAGAGAGAGAGAGAGAGAGAGAGAGAGAGAGAGAGAGAGAGAGAGAGAGAGAGAGAGAGAGAGAGAGAGAGAGAGAGATGAATACATAAATAAGAAATCTCAAACATCTAATGTGAACCTCGTATGCCCAAACAGAAAAAGCAACTGCTTCTGAAACTTATAGTGAAGTCCAGTCCAGAAGATATGAAAAGATGGTAAACACACTCAACCTAAATCCTTTCTACTCAGTATCTAGTTGCCAGGGATAGCAAGATGTCTCATGATGCCTTTTAGTTCCTCATTTAGTAGGGTTGAACTTAAACTTATATATAATGAATTATGCAGTACTTTGTTGAGAATATTAAGATTCGATCTATCAAAATGTTCTGCCGAAGGGGCGAAGAAAACCAACTTTAGATAGAACTATTACCTATTTGGAACTCTTGCTGCAATCAAGAATTTGTCGAGTGTATTAAGAGGATATTGGCCTTTTCTTCAAGAGCCATTTGTAACTTTAAAAATGCACACTTCAAATCGTTCTTAATTTCTTGTGAATTAGTAGTAGCTTGTATGCCAAAAAGACGACGCCTCAAAAGTCACCAAAAGATGAAACTGTGATTCTTTTATTTCATCCTGCTGCAACCAAATAGTTTAAATTTCTGCGCTTAAATTCCACATGCTACCAAGCAGATTTCTGCTAGACATGTTCAGCTATTATTCAAATCTCCGCCGTATGTTTACTCTAACCTGTATCATCAAAAAGACCACACAGTCAACTGTATCTAAACTACATTTAAACTGCAGTATAAAGGCAAACGAAGTGTGAAATAAGGAAGTCCACATTGGCCTAGACTATATTTATCTGAAATTTGGCCCTTTCCTCCTATCAAAATTTTTTTAAGCTAAGTAGAAAGGTAACGGTAGTAAAGTAAATCAAACTAATGGAAGCCGGACAGTACCAACCACCCCAGGAACAGAAAGATGCCATTGCAGATGTATAGGTTAGAACTCTTCTGACCTGCAATGTCCAAGTACCTGAATAGATTCCTTATTAAGCCAGTGTTTGTCAACAATACAAAAAAATAATGGATTGTTCAGTCAAAGAAATGAGGAATAATGAAGTAATTTTGAAAGTCACTAACCATCTTAGATTGACAAACGGGGTTGTGCTCTCTGAAAACAAAACCATAAGTATGTATATTTGGCCTTGACCGCTTACAAGGGAAAGAAAGATGGAAAACATGGATAATCCGTGGTGTAGAACCTGAGAAGAACTGTAGTGTCAATACTTCACATAAAGAAAGACAAACTGCCCAAAGAGCAAGAGTAGTTCCACAACACTATTAAAGCAGGTACAAGTATAACCAGCCAGTTAACCCCAATTCAACAAATTTGCCGACATTTAAAAAATTTAAGTCACGGGGAGAGGGAGAGCGAGGGACATGCTACATAGAGATGTGGATGGAAACTGAAGGATCAAGCCTTAGTGCTCTCCTCCTTCAATATTCATATCATGAAGATTACTTTTACATAAAGACAGTACTACCCCTGGTATTACAACCCGCAGTACCCCAGCTAATTTACAGCATAATATGATGGTTAACTTACAATAATAAAAGCTTAACATTCATCAAAACACTACTCGACTTAACTTATAAAGCTCTCACGTCATATACTCTTAACTTTTTTTAGCTGTACCAGATTCAGACACCAAGCAAGAGTCAAGGCTGATGGAGGAAGTGTTATTTCATGCTAAAAAACTGCAAGCTAAAAAATCATAATACTTGTGTCCGTGTACTTACATATTCCCAACCACCAAGAGCTGGAAAATGCCAAACAATCATTGCCAAGTCTGACAGAAAATAACCTATAGAGACCTGTGAAGTGCCATAAAAAGATAAAAAACATGAGTACATAAAGAACCATCTATACTAGTCTTACATTATCATCTACATGGGTTTGCTTCACATGTCCTAAGTGTATCAAGTAAAGCCATACATAATCGCAAACAAATGATTGAGCTGCATTTTGTGTGTATTTACATGTTTACAAATGTGCTCTCAAAAGCACAGGGTACAAAAAAAAAAAACAATAAGAACAGGGAGGGGCAAAGCAGCAAGAGTAGAGGATCCAAATCATGGTAGGTCACCCTGGGGAGTGTGGAGTGACAGACTTTACTGGACAGGATACAGCTGCCATGGATGTGAATTTCCCCAAGACAGGCATAGTGCATATCAGGATCAACATATTTCTGAATTTTTCACTTAATAACTTAGATACTTACGTTTTGATTAACATATGTGATAATATATCATTACTAGTCTAATCAGGTCACTCGGAGCCGGAAGAGAGAGAGGGTCAGCTGCCACTAACATCTATCGTTTAAGTTGGACGTGATCCTGTAGCAGCGCCAATCTGCTCATTGCCTTGACCCTTTCCTGAACTAGTAAGTCACAACCTACCTCTTGCCCACAAATGGGATGAATAAGAAAGTCAAGTTTCCTTTCGATTTTAAGAGATGATACCCATTAGTCTACTCTAATCAAATAATATTTTTTTTTCATAAACTTGTGTATAACATTAGACATAAAAAATTCAGTATTAACCTTTTTTTTGAAAAAAATACAACACTATATATAGTGCTATGGTTCATTGATGCATTTCAAATGATAGTGGGCATTGATTTGAGTAAATACGTTAAGCCTGCAAAGGGTCATTAAAAAGATTCATGTGAGAACTCAGTGGACTTCTCTTTTACCTATCCAAAGAAAAGAAAAAAAAAACAGAACTCCGTGGTTTTATATTATTAATTTATGAAAAATAAAAAAAGGAAGCCAATAAGGGCGCGTTTGGTAAGTTGCCAAACAGTAACAATTTCTGTTCTTTTGTTCCTAGAATCAGTTTTGGAACATAAATCTGTTTGGTAAATTTTTTGTTCTCGAGCATAAATTTGCCAAAATTTGTTCCCAGAATCAGTTTTGGAACAAAATCAAGAAGCCAAAAAAAGTAGCTTCTTGTTCCCATAATTAGTTTTGAAACAAAATCAAGAATCAAGAAACTTTTTTTTTTTTTTCTTCTTCTTCTTCCTGGCATGTGGCCGGCAAGGGCTGGACCCTCACCGCCGCCCTTGCCAGATCTGGTGAGGGCGGCTTGCGACCTGGGCGAGGGTCCAGCCCTCGCCGGCCCTGGCCTGTGGCCGGTTGCCGGCGTCGGTGACCGGCCATGGCCAAGGAAAGGGAAGGGGAAGAAAAAAAGAAGAAAAAAAAGAAAGAAATATTAAAATATTCAAAATATTATTAAAATATTATTAATAAAAAGAAATTTTGTGTAGTTACCAAACACATTTATGTTCTTTTTCTATTCCAAAAATAGAAATTTTTTATAGTTACCAAACGCTTTCAAATGCTTAGAAATTGTTTTCAGGCATGGAATAAAAAAAAATCATTTCTGAGCAGAATCAGCTTCCGGGAATAGAATGGTTGCCAAACGCGCCCTAAGTCATTGAAATGGGTAAAAAGATTTTAAAAGGCCGTGGATTTGACACCATTGCTCAAACCATTCTTATTCCGGCTTCCTGAAGCGAGCTCCTTTTTGATCATCACTTTGTATTCAGCATCAACATAGAATTTCTCCCAATCTCCACAATGCTGATTCCCCACACCAACACCCTCATTTGTAATGGAGCAGCATTAGAAATTGTGGTAAATATTTCCACTAGAACGGTGTTTTGTTGCATGCAAATTCATTTTGTTGACATGTACTTGCATGTCCACATGTCCACATCATCGTGGACATGTACTTGCATGCAAATTCATTTTGTTGCAGTCTTTCATGCAGAAAGATGCATACTATGACAAAAATATCTTTTGAAGGAAGTCGAAAAATAGGAGCAAATCAAATAATTACCTATGTCTTCCTTTCCAATATCAGCTATCAATAAGTTCCTTGAGCAATAAATCTATAGATAGATCCTGCATTTGGCCGAACTAACTGAGGTAGCCTACATGGATCCATTTACACCATATCAAAATATCTTCTAATGCATATGGACAAGTAAGAGATACTGTCATAGCTACAATCAGGCTGGGAGGATGGATCGAGAGGAGGGATCAATCGAGAGGAGGGATCAATCAACCCATTGTCACCTTGTCCCATTAATAATTTACATTATTTGACCAGACGCATCGGGTCTATTTAAGGTGAATAAATAGTTCACTCTCTGAATAGACTTCTTCAAAATGATAAAGCAACCGTTTCTAGCACTTATACCATACTTATGTGCTGCATCATCAATGAAATCCCCCTCAAAGCATTTTGCAAGCTTTACATAACCATAACTAGTTCCATATAGCAATTACCAATAAGCAGCAGCATACTCCAATGGCACTTAAGTGCATTTTATTTCTAACATATCCACGATGATGTATGAGAAAGATATTCAATTGTTACAATGGTAGAATATTACTCAAGCAAGAATAATAACATTCAGCTAACGGATTGCATATAATTACTCCAAGTACTAAGCAAAAAAAGTTCCATCCTTAGTTTAGTTGGAGCAAGACAAGTTAAAGAAATATGTCAAAAATTAACATCCAGTAAGAAAAATCCCATGAAAACACACAAAAGTAAATTTGCAAACAAAAGCCCTAAGGTTGTTATGCTTTTACTGTTCATCTAAGGAGTATTTATGTACATACTACCATACATGTATCCATTTGAAAACACATGAAAGAGATGATAAGAAAAGATTTGGAGCACTTAGATCTTTCAGAAGACCTGATACAAAATAGAGTACAATGTCATAAAGTAATCGGTATAGCCGACCCTACCAAGTGGGTTAAGGCTTAGTTCTTGTTATATTTATGCATAATCAGAATGTCGAAGGTAATAAAAATAAAACCATGTACCAGTTGGAATGTTTTATCAAATCAAGCTATTATATATTTCAATCAAAGAAATGTGATAAACTTTTTCACATTACCCCCAGTATTGTCTCTGATACGGTTGATGTCCTATTGATGACTAATTGGTCATGAGAATCTTCTTTGAAGAGATCTGAGAACAGCAGGAGATATAGAGAAGCAGACGATGCAACAATTGCATGGAATGTCGAGAATCCCCTGGACAAAAAACATTTTAAAAAAGGTATTTCAACCCATCTCTTGCAGTGTTCCTAGAGGACATAATGAATGGAATGTTGGACATTACTTGAGAATTTCGCAAAGCACTTAGGCTGGAATAAGGATGAGGAATTTACCGGTTCTTCCATTCTACTTTGTCCATGTTCCTGAGTTTCGTATACCCATTGAAGCATAAAAGACTAATGAGACCCGTTATTTTATACACCTTCAAGAAAAAAAACAGTAGTTAAACAACAACACTATCAGATATGAAAAGGAATGAATGCACCTTTCATTCAAATGAAATGTTGCAAATAGAAGGAACAAACTGTTTACTCTCTCCTCATGTTTTTCACACAAACAAGAATTCACTAAACATATTTTCCCTTCTCATAAGTGTGATCACAGTGTGAATAACACGTCGTAAATTAAATGGTCCAATATTTGAAAGCAGCTCAAACATTCTCAGCTCCTGAATTGAAGATACTGAGATTGTTGCTATCCTAGTGCCAAATTCATATTAGGTTAAGAACATCATTACTATCCTGCTCCCAAATTCAGAGTAGGTTGAATAAATTGGAACACAACTGCTAAGAATGAATATTAAAATGAATCTGATCAATAGTAAGTAATTTTTGCCCTCTAATAGACTTCTTTCGACCACTGTTCATACTTACGAGAGATTTTTTAATTTCTTGTAAAGTCTTGTAATCAAATTGAATCATGAGTCTTGGTAAGATACATCAAATTCATACACATCAAATTCTACTGATGTCATGCAGATCCCATATCCAATCAAAATGACACTTTCTCTTACAGCACACTTAGCCAGTTCTGTAAAATCATTGCCCCACATTATTTTTCCCCAAGCAAGAGCCGTGAAAACACACAAGCAAAATCTTAATTTTCCATTTAAATTATCATTATGCTATAGATGTAAAAGCTAGTTCAGATAGTAATATCACATATAAAACTACATAAAATTATAAAAAAAATGCGTCCTTTGTTCAGTAAAAGTATATAACTAACAAATAAAAAGAATTAATAGGTCCCCTTGATTTAGTAAATTGAGTAGTGCATCATCAGATACGCTCTATGGTTTGGTCTCTCAAAAATTCAGATAATAGATTCTCACTGCGGGAGCGTTGATTGGACCAAATTATAAGATTCCTATTGTGAACCAATAGAGTACAAAAAGTAAGAGGGCCCCTAAGAGCAAGCAAAGGCATAAGCTCAGCATGATTCATGCTCAAAATCTTCTCAAATAGTTTTCTAGGAATCAAAATGGTGGAGATGGCCAGGGCAAGAAGTTGGAGTTCATTGTACTCAGACATGGTATTGCAAAGTGTGCTCCAAGTCATACCAATCCAACCAAAAGTACGAGGACTGACTCTCACATAGGGGAAAAAACTACAGGAATACATGCAAGATCGCTAAGAGGTGTAAAAAAAATCCGAAAAGAACTTGCAGGATGAAACTCAAATTTTGGGGGCAGCAAATTCAAACTGAGAGAAATCAAAATAATGAAATTTGTTTGGTATGTGGAATACAGAGCATGTCAGCATTCAATGAAGAAGCAACTTACAGCACGGCACATGACAATCCCTGAAAAGACCGCAGCTAGCCACAGAAACTCTTTCCTCAATGCATAGCCAATAACATTTATTGAATGAGGAGAAAATAATGCATCCATATTGCTCCGTCGAAGTATCTCCGGCAGAAATGAGCTTAGAGAACTAAACCAAACAAACATCATCAAAAAGGAAGCAAATGGCAGCCGTCGACACAAGCCAACACTAAGAATGAGTTCAATATCCATTTCTTTCTCACGGTATAAATAAAAATTTGGAGAGAAATATATTCGCTTCAAGCCTGAGTTATGGGAGGCAGGGTGAATGTCCAGTAGGTTCTACTTCAATACATCCTTGAATTCGACACATGGGCATGGCAACCACTAAGAATTCTCGGGTACAACAAAATAGGAGTTCGGTCCTTTCTTTCCCCCTACTTTAAGCCGGGTGTTTACAGAGTCGTTTCACGTCCTCTAAACCCCCAAGACCCGCAGCAACCTGATGAAGGAAGCCCCGCGTACACAGTAGTAACAGTGAAAACCCTCGTGCTTGATTGATTTGGGAAAGCCAATTCACTCCGACTAGAGACAAAAAAAGACAGCAAACCCGCTTTCCAACAATGAAAGAGCTTTCTTAACAAGAAAACGAGAGGTAAAATCTCCCTTAGTGGAATCGCTAATGAAGAAATTTGTAGGATGAGAGAGCCCCCTTACTTTTATGCGCTCTTGATCCCCACAACCAAAAGAATCGATAACCTGTTCGCTGCTGCTGCTTCTCTCTCGGCACAAGGCAGTCGTCGAAATGGCGAGTCAATGTTGATTACGGAATCGTCCGAGGAAGATGAGATGAGTGGTCAAGCCGGTGGTCTCCATGCGCTTTCCTGTCCGTCGGCCTTTTTGGGCCGAGCGAGCTTTATTTTCTTTCTTCAATTATTTTAAAGGGTGATGTCATTTCCATTTGAATTTGAGGGATTAGCAGCAAAAAGATAAAAAAATTTAAACAACTGACAGGACTATACTGTTATTTGGATGCTGGCGAGGAAAAAACACTATATTGTGATCTAAATATCTTTTCATGTAATTAAAATAAATGCAAAATAAGGGATTAACAGGGATTTGTGTAGTAATATTTATATTTCTTTTTTTACTTATATTTTTACTTTTATATGGAGAGCTTTCAATGGAATCAAAATGTACATAACGAGACTAATCCCTTTTAATCTCTCATAATCCCTTTAATCATTGTCGCGATACTTTTATTGACTTTTTTTTAATTGTCTTATTTCTCTAAGCCATGCATGTTTTTCTGAATTAGGTGCGCTAGTGGTTTGGTTCGGTTCAATTTGAAGGTACTTTCAGTCTAAACCGAACTTATTTACCAAAGCCCAAACCAAACCAATGAAATAAATCAATAGATTCAGCTCATTGTCAATTTGATTCGATTCATACTGATATCCTCAAGCCCAATTACAAATAATAAGTGTAATACATATTTCACCTATCTAACTACAACATGCAATGGAAATTAACAAAAAAAAGCACATATTTCTACACATCTATTGAAAAAGAGGAATATATTCATAATTAGATAAAATTAAATCATCGAAACGTTAAAAAATATTTTTTAACAAAACGGTAAAGACACAAGAGATCATACATCGTTCATAAGTATAATTTAGATTAAAAATCAATCAATAATAGTCAACTCGAGAAGTATCAATCTTTTATTTAATGGTATGTAGGAATCTTAGATAGCAAAAACTTGCTTGGTAAGCTATACCACAAAATTTATAAGCCAAAGTTGGTTTGGTTCGAGTATACTGGTCTCTAAAATTATAAACAAAAAGCAAACCAACAAACCAAAACACAATCGATTAACTTAACTTACCGGTTTGCTTCACTCAATTTATTGATTTTTGGGGTTTTTATGAACATCTCTCGTTCTTATATCGAAAAAAAAAAATCAAAGTTGTGGTTGACTAGTCATGGATTTGAAAAAACTCTAAAATTGCTAATCGATACATTTGAACAGCTCAAGTAGTAAAGATTTTGTTGGGCCAAATATGTGTTGATTCCAATAATGCAAACGATAGAAACGTTGAAAAAATCTACAAAACAATAAAGGATTGGCGATGATAAAAGTATACTACTACAAGAAAAGAAGAAGAAGAAAGAATAAAAGATGCTAAGTCCGGGTACGATTTCACCGTCAATTAGCTTTTAAGTCAATTGAAAGTTTCTTTTGGTGGAAAGTATACAACATGATTATAAAAGGTGGGGCCAACACAGAGAGAGATGGTGATGGTGATGTGATGGTGGGGCCAACTGAGAGAGGATTTATTTATTTTTCATTGTGTGTAAAAGAATTATCTAATATGCACTGCATATGTGTATTGTTATTTTGCACTTTGTGTATTTTTTCAATGTTTTTTACATGCAATTAGTCAAAACTACATAATGACTCTGCAAAAGACAAAATATCACCCGTACAATATTTCACACGTGAATAAAAAAACCAAATTAGCCTTTAAAAGCTCTGCATAATTTAAATTTTGCGATTCATGTACTTAAACTTTTTTTTTTGCTCGGTATTGAAACTTTCACACCGCCCAAGTATTGACACTATAATTTTCATAATTTTCTGCAATTTCAATAATATTTTGAATATTTGTGGGAAATCAAAATATACTTTTCACCTTTGTGCAAATGCAAACAATCATACCTTAAACTTTTACGCATTTAAATTTAGGGTAGCGTTATTTCCACCCTATATATGACTAAATTCACTCTTATTTTTATTAAAAACACAAAGTTGCTTCAATCATTTAATACAATTTAAAGAGTTGGCCCCACCTTATTTATTTATTTATTTCTATTTAGGATGTGGTTGCCATAATTAAGCATTTTGCATGTTTTATTTATTTTTTATTATGGGTATCCCACGTATACTATAGGGCACTATGTTTCCTTTTCTATTTCTAGATTTTACTTCCGTAGAAGTAAGTTTTGTGGAAAAGAGAAATATCCAAGAAAATACATATCAAGTCTCTTAATTTACTACATCAAATATTTTGTCTTTTCTCCTTACTATTGATGAGATATCTATACAAAAAGCATGTAAAGGCAATATAGGAGTATCTAGGAATACACCAAAAACATTGATGTGGAAAAAAAGTATCATGAGACATTTTGATATCTTTTTTCTAAATACTTCATGGACGATATTACTTTTTGTTAATCCAAAATGATGATTTTAAAAAAAAATATTGTTTTACACAATTGGTTTAATTAAATTTTACCTTTTAAAAATTTTCACGTTGGAAAAAGTAACTGTGGTTATATTTTGGAAAATCTTTAAAGAGTGTTTTTTTTTTCATCCTATGATCCCATTATATGTGTATGTATATAAATGACAACTGATGAGAAAAAGGTTTGATGGTGATATGTATAACAAAAGTGTAAGTTTATAAACAAGTGATTGTGTTAAGAAATCGTAATGTGTCAAAACTTTTTTACATTCTACTTTATAATTGAACCATAAATCTACTCGCCAACGTAGAATAGAATTAGGTTTCTTGAATAATTTTCTTGTTGACAAAACTAATTTCTATGGAAGTAAAATTCAACATTTAAAAAGAAAACAGATTATCTACAATAGACAAAAACAAAACATGTGAATTTTTTAATTATGGCAACTAGATCATATGTGGAAATAGAAAATGGGGAAATTACAAAAAAAAATCTTAAACTTATTATATCGGTATCAATTCAGTCATAAACTTTTTAATTGGTACCAATTTATTAATTGTATCAATTTAGTCATGAACCTTTTCAAAATGGTACCAATTAAGTCCATAAAGCCAATTTAGATCGTAAATTGCTGACGTGGACGCCGACTGTCCTACGTGGCACGGTCAGAACTGATGTGGACATTTTTTTTTCGATTTTAATTAATTATTATTTTCTATTTCCTTTTTTTTTTCCTTTTCTTCTCTTTTCCTTCTTTTTTTTTTTCTATGAGCTTCCAACAAGGGCTTTGCAGCCCTCGCCCGGATCTGGGCAAGGCCAACCACACCATGGCCTAGCCAGCTGCGGCCTTTGCTTCTGTTCCCTGTTTTCGTTGACGAGGAAATGACGAAGATGATTTAGAAATCTCCACCACAATCTCTGTCATTTCCAAAAACCCAAAAATGAAAGAGAGAAGAAATTCCATTTCAATCGGAATTTTGCACCATTGTGCTTGGCTTTAGTCCGATATGAAGCTAATGATGCTCTCGAGTGTGTAGCAGCAATGGAAGCTAAGAGAAAGAGTGGTACAAGAAGAAGAAGAAAGCCTCTTTCAGACCTCACCAACACTGGCTCTGTCGGAGCTTGAACCTCCTCTCAAATCCTGCATTTCGTCTGCTTCGAAGAAGATCGCTCCAAACCCTAGATTTGGCGAGGGCGGTCTTGTCGGGTCTCGCATTGGCCTAGGCGAGGTTGACCCTCCCCGGTGGCCGGCGAGGGCTTAGCGAGGGTCGTCCACTGGCGGATGCAAGAAAGAGAAGGGAAAGAAAAGGAAAGGAAAAAAAAAGAAAAGAAAAAAAAATATAAAAAAAATCCACATCAGTGACGGCCGGACGGCTGTATCAGCAATTTCGACCTAAATTGGCCAGTGTACTCAACTGGTACATATATAAAATTATTTAGGACTAAATTGGTCAAATTGAAAGATTTATGACCCAACTAGTATCGATGCAACGGGTTTTGATTTTTTTGGTACTTTTCTCAATAGAAAACGACCACCACTTTATATTGAAATTGATTAGTTAGGGTGATTTTGTCTTTTGATAGCAATTGGGTGTATTTAGTCATATATGGGGTGGAAATAGCACTGTTTTAAATCTAACTTACAACAATGCATATGGTAAATTGAAGTGCAAGAACACAAAATTGACTTAGCATGTAGCTAGTGAAGTTTGGCTCATTTTGATGGTACTTGTATTGCAACTGTGTAAGCACTCGATGCAATTACAACCCAATCCAGTTGAACCCGTGTAACCTGAAATCGATTGGTGTATTTTATTTAAGTCAAGATGTTATATAAGTTATAAATTGTATACACTGTTCATTAGTACAACATTCAATTTGCGTCTATTCGCTTTCTTGGAAGATGTTTGTGTACCTCTAAGCATATGAAGTGAAACAGACATCGCACTTTACTTTGCCATAGAAAATATGTTAATTAGTCGATTTTTGTGTGCTTTACTTGTATTCTTTTATCTTAAGCACACGGCGTTCCACATTTTTAGTCGAAGAAGCGATATTTCAAGTGGTCGAAAAGTTTCTTTCATAATCGGAGAAACAAGTAACTATCATAAGTGTGTCCAAAGCTGCATTACTAAATAGACATAGGAGATATGATATTTGTTTGGTTCCTCCTGTTCAAATTTGTTCGGACGAGGAACTAAGTGCAGTGGTGGACCGCATAAATACCTTTTTTTTTTTGTTTTTCCAAAAGTACTACCGAGAGGTGAAAATCACCCGTGCACCCACGCCATTGAGGTCGGTTCGTGTTAGATTGAGTGAAGGGAAGGATTTCACTGCTGAGAGGGACGGAGAATCCGCAAAAAGGACCGCCCACCTCTTCCGAGTCAATCAAACATCCTTTTGATTCTTCACCAAGCAAAGACTGCAGTCTCTTAGGAAACTATCATATTACCCACCCCTTCCTTCCTTCCTTCGTAGAGCAACCACAGACAGAGAGCAACGTTTCGGTGGCTTTGCAAATGGGAAGCGAAATCAATCTGGGTGGACGTCCTTACGATCTGGCCATGTCGAAGAGAACCAGAAAGCCATTGAAACTCGAAGAGACCGTCAGCGATGTTTCAGTTACAGGCTTTGCCCAAAATCAAGGCTCAGAAGCTTCTCTCGATCAAGAGAAAGGGATCGCCGGAGTAGAATTGGCTAGTGACCGTCAAAGCTTGAAGCAACTCATTAATAGCGAGGGAGATCCTCTGCTTGAATCGTGTGACGAGAGACGGCGGAGGAGTTCACTCGGCCACCACTTCACTGAAGAAGAAGTAACGCAACTTCAAGTGGTCAGGGTCAGGGCGAAGCAGAGACAAGGTGGTGCCGAAGGGATGAAACTCAAGGGAATGGTTAGTCGTTGTGCGAAGGTTTTGAGCCAACTTATTAAGGGACACCCACCATCCGCAGGAGGATCCAAGAAACAGCTAATCCTCCGTCTTACCAACTAAGCTCTGTTCGAGCCACTTAAGGAGAACGAGTGCTGGGGGTAATCATGGAATGGCCTCTATATTTCTAGCTAAAGCTGTCGCTTTTGTCCTTTTCAGAACTCTGCGATGGCGGTACTCTTATTTATGAGAACTCGGAGGAGAGTTGCAATTTCTGATCCTTTTTCCTCCAGGTACCTAAGATACTCGAAATCTACAATCTAGATATTGAGAAAGAGAGGTTTCTGTTAACGGAAGACAAAATTAGCCATCTTAGCATACTAAGCAGGCTACTTTTGAATGTATTGCGTGGGTTACGTTCTTGCAGATGTGTTGCTTTCTTGTCAAATAAGCTGTTAATCATTTATTTTTTGACAGGCATTTTGGTTGCTTTGCGCCTGATATGCTTTACCAAATACATGAAGAAAAGCCAATAGCTTGATCAGCTTGATTAGGCCGAGAAGCCTAGGTGGATTTGGTTCTTCATTTGGCCATGATTGGTTGTTTAAAGCGTGTTTGAGCATTATCATTCGAAACGTTAGATATGAAAATTAATCTCGCATGCCCATCTAAATGCTTAGACCGAATGTCTTATGGTGTCGAAAGTAATTGATCTTCATGCTACCACCGGTTGAGATGTGATACATGCCTATGTACGGTACCCCAAAAAGGAATCCTTAAGAATAAGCTAGAAGGATCCTTTGCTCGATCTTATGCGTTCGGTTCACGATGTGTCTTGAGGGCCGTTGATGTGCTAGTGTGAATTTGTGGTGTCGTGGTTCTCAGTTTCATGTCATAAGCAGGGCCTTGCCTCTATTAGTGAAACATGAGAGAAATTGTTCAATTAGTTCTAAATCTATTGTACGGATGTCAATTCAGTCATAAACTTTCAATTTTACCAATTTAATGCTAAACCTTTGTGTGAAATTTCAATGTAGTCCTTCCAATTAATTTTTGCTAGAAATCGTTTAAGTAGCTGCGTGCCATATAAGATAGTCGGTGATGATTAGATGGCCACATCAGCGATTTCAAGCTAAAATTGATCGAAAAGACTACATTGAAGTTTCACGTAAAAGTTTAGGACTAGTTTTAAAAAAATTAAAAAAATTTACAACTAAATTGGTATTCGTACAATAGATTTAAGATTGATTGGGTAATTTTCCCGTAAAATAATTGTACTGTTATATAAACTTCTGTCTATTGCACGTTTGCTAAACTCATGGAAATATAATTGTCTTTTAGACTATATCGAATTGTACACGTATAACACCCCACGTTAATTATACTCGGGCATAAGTACTTCAGATTTGATCTTATTTCATGCCTTTTCTTTGATCAATTAGGTTGCGAATGACAACCATTCTGTTCCAGAAATCAATTTCTGGCCAGAAATTGATTTTTCTATTTCTGTTTCTGGACGAGTTTCTGAGCAAAAAAACACGTTTGATAACGACACAAAATTTCTGTTTCTGGAATAGAAATTCGTTTGATAACTGCATAAAATTTCAATTTCCTAGAACAGAAATTCATTTGATAACATAGTCCTCAAATACCACATCACCTTACAAGAACCATGGAAAGTCCAAGAAGGAAAAGGCGACATAATGGAAATACATTACACAAGTCGAAAATACAATTTTATGGAATCTCCTGCATATAATGATCCCTTGCCATTTTATTGGCAATACTTTTCCTAAGCATGTTCATCTTGGTTCCTTCCCCGATCAATGTATCGTCCGTAACCTCATCTTGTGTAGGTTCAAACTCGTAATTTGGATCTCCATATAGGGAAAAGTTCTTATCTATCTTGTCTTGATCACGGATGTAATTATGAATAGCACAACATGCAATTACAATACTTGCTCGCTTTCGAAATGTAAATGAAGGCATGTGTCTTAAGATGAAAAAGCGATTCTTTAATGCTCCAAATGATCTCTCAATGATATTCCTTAGTGAAGAATGCCTATAGTTGAACAATTCTCTTACTGTTCTTGGTCGTCTTGCTCTACCCCTATAATCATTTAGATGATACCGTTCACCTTTGAAAGGAGTTAAAAATCCCGGAGTTGCTGCATAACCAGAATCTACTACGTAGTATTTGCCTATAACAAGGTATTCATTTATTGGTCGTGATTTGCAATTGCAATCCAATCATAAAGAAAATTACTACTTAAAGAACAAGCAAATACCTGGTGGTGGTCGAGGAAATTCCAAGCGAGGAGTCTCGAGTACTGCCGAGAGCACTCGACAATCGTTAGCAGAGCCTTCCCAACCAGCATACATAAAAGTAAATTTCATATTAAACGAACAAAAACACAACACATTTTGAGTGGTAATTCCTTTCCTTCCTCTAAATGGGATTTGCTTCTCCACATGTATAGAAGCATGAATATGGGTGCCATCAATAGCGCCTACGCAACCCTGTCATTTTATCAAAAACTAATATTATGCACTATTATCAACAAAATAAAACTGATGGTGTAAAGGAAGGAATGTGTGAGAATCCTGCCTTAAAGTAACGTTTATGGTTAGGATCCATAAGAATCTCCTCTAGGACGACATCAAAGGAAGGGGGTACAATAACCTCTCTTGCCAGTTTGAGAACTGCTTTCAACACTATTGTTGGAATCTCTCACATAAATCTCTATTGGAATTCTTGTGACAAATCATAGATAAGAAAATCCCAACTTGTTCATCTACCCTAATATATCGACTATCTTTCAACCAACCTTTTGCTTTCATCAATTCACAAAAGTTGAGAAAGACATGTCTCTCCATTCTAAATGTTTCATATACTCTATCTGAATGTCCATATAGAACCTCTCTTACCCATTCGGGTCCTGATAATATGCTGTCTCTAATAGGTTCTCTTGTGTGCATGGACATATCCACATCAATAGTGGATAATTAGGATATCAGTATATCAAGATCAAAAACATCAAAGTCTTGTTCAATTGATTTGACCGATGCTACTTCATCATTATAATTGCTACTTTTAGCCCCCTCCATATTACCTATGCCATTACGCGAAAAAAATAAAAATAAACACATAAGATAAGGACTCCAATAACAATAAACAATAGCCACAATAGCCACAATGTCATCATAGTTGCATCATAAGAAAAAACCAAATAATAGCCACAATGTCATTGTAGTTGCATCATAAAAAAACCGAAGTCTCAAGTACATAAGTCAATAAGTCATACAATGATGAAAGCCAAATATAAATCCATTGCATATTTCTCAACAACTACTTAAAGAGATTCAAGAAGTCCACGCCTCCTTTCAGGTAGAGATATGATAAAAGCTTCTCTCCAAGTGGCATTAAGGCATGCTTGGTTCATAGCTTTATTGTAAAGATCCTGCTCCAAGTTAGGCATGCCATTTAGGACGGCAACCACAACTCCTATGGAGTAGGGGTCGGTAGTGAGGCATGTGAGGTGACGGAGCCACTTGTTGATTGACCCGTCCTGAATTTGATCATTTCTTGAATGGCTTTGCATGTGCCACTAACATCATATGTGTTGCTCTTTCTCCTCCTCTTGGAATTTGGAGTCCTATCCAACTTGTGCTTCTCACGAACTAGGGTGGCAGTCATGTCAGGTGTAAAGACTCCCTCATTAATATAGTGTTCATTAAATTCCTCTGAATCACCTACCCCACCACCACCACCACCACCACCACCATTATCTTCTCCCTCCGACATTAACAAGTCTTCTACATTTCCTACTGCATACTCTCCAGTAGCATATGTATCACCAAACACAATAAACAGCTGGGGATACAAAGGAAATCCATCATTCTTGAATTTAGCCCATTCGTTATTATCCTACAATTTTCACAATAATGACATACGTCAGCAACATAATTGAAGCTTATATCCTTAAAAAAAACAAACTGACCCAAATAAAGTAATACCTTGATGTGAGACTCCCATACACTTACATCATCTACAGTAACCTTTTTGTTTACATTATCCCATCCAAATCCAGATTGTGAAATAAGCTTCTTAAAACTACAATACTGTCTCTTCAGTTTGTTTACCCCGTTCTTCAACTGAATTACACTAAATTGGAGTCCTGCTTGTTTATTGAATACAACACGTATATTATTCTACCCTGCTTTGTTGAAAGTACATGTGGTGCGATTTCCTTTTTTTACCTCGTCTACCAACAAACTTACAAGCATATTGGTCAAAGGCTCGGTCCACTTTGCCATAAGAACCTCTTTATTGGATGCCATTTAATCTTAACTGGTTGAGCATCAAATGAGCCACATCAGATAATGTACCAATTCAAGTGCGGAAGCTTTGATATCAAAATCACAATAATATGTAATGACTGTTAATAAACCAAAAGACACAAAGAAATTGAAAGAGAACATCCTCCTATCAGATCAAGCAAGTATATATCGCGCCAGTCAAATTAAAAGAGAACATCCCCCTACCAATTCAACTTTGTAGCTAATGTCTAGTAGGATTTTTTCTGTTGTAATCAAGCAAACCAACTTGTCCAGTACGTTTAGACCTCGTTTGAAGCATATAATTGGTGAATGTTCTTCTATTTGTAGATGCATGGTTGTTCTGTTCCTTTCTTTTTTCGTCTCCAAGCAAATCCACCATAGTTTTGAAAAGCTTAAGAACTTAAATCCTTTATCGTGTGACATAATAACATGATAGTATTACTACAAATTTGAAATAAGACATCTTTCATTGCAGACAATTAAACATAGTTGAACCTTAAACCGAAACTTAAAACGAAACTTAAAACGAAACCCTAAACCGAAAAAAAACCTGAAAACCCATCTAAACGAGTCCAAAACGCAAAAAAATGACGTCGATCAAAGCAATGTGAGTATTGATAAGCAACCCGTTTCCACTCAGCCGACCAAATTTCAGCCCATTCCAAGTTCGCTAATCTAAGTACATCACTTATGCTACCCATAATCGCAAAAGAGATACACAACCATCACCGCCTATCAAATTCAAACACAGCACAACAAATTCAAATTCAACAATGCACAATGAATGACACATAACAATGAATTGATCCTATACTCAACTATCGAATGAACAGGCGTAATTCTCTGTTCTTGAAGCGGAAATTAGCCTTGCAATGAATGTAATCATGCAAAGCTAAGCAAATTGCTCATTCTCTAACAGCTCATTCTCTAACAACAACAACATCAATGCAGAACCAGCCATTCTCTAACAGCCTAACAAAAAGAATCTCAGCTTTTGAGTTCATAAAAAAGAAAACACGAATCCGAAGCATGTCTTCGTCACACTTCCACAGTCACGAGCCAACTAACGTAATCTAACATATAGCACCATAACATAGCCATCCACGGTCCGACAAATTCCACACAACACTCAAACACGT